TGGTGTGTGTGGGGGGGGGGGGGGGGGGGGGGTTGCAGTATAATGAATTGCCGATTTTAATTATTTTAATATGGTAAATTCATCTTGGCCTGTCATCAACAACTGTTTGCATTTTCTACTTTTCAAATGCTTTTTATGCAAATTGTATTATTTCAACCTTATCCCAGATACAGAAGTTAAATCTTAAACTTTAAGAAAATCCATCGTGAAAATATCAAAAATATATATTTTTGAACAAAGAGTGAAACTGGCATAAACCAGTTCAAAGTTTGCTGTGAGAAAATTAATTATACAACTTCATATCAGCTTTTACACAAATGATGCCCCTCAATTTTGGTGTTCACCACGACCAACAATTTTGCCCCTAATTTTTTTTTTTTTAAGTTAGTTTACCAAGAGACAAAACATGAGACATTTGATGTGTCAAGTAAACAAAGAAAACAGGTAATTTTAAAATAATAAAATATTTTCAATGCATTTTTAATTTGTTTAGGAAACTATAAAATTTGCCTTAGCAGAAAATATTTTAAAATATATGTTTTACAGAATATTATTCATACAGAACATTAACACAATTGTATATTTAAATCAGAAATTGTATTTGTTGAGTTAAGAAAACAATGAATTAGAAAAAAATCTTATAATACTTCTATTATGCAATAAAATAAACTAATGAGAATAAGAAAAGTGTTTCAAGATAGTTTTTTTTTCTTTCCAGCTGAAGAAATAATAAAACAATTCATATGATTCACAAATTTATATTAAAATAATTATATTAATTTCTATTAATTATAATAATAACTTCAATAATGCAATTATTTAGAACAGCAACAAATTTACACCTTGTAAAAGTTTACAAGAGCTTTCAAAATACTAAAATACTCTTGCATTAATCTATTATGGCTTTACAGTAGTAAGAAAAACTATAGTGACTATGTAGCTATATTCTTTAATATGGTTATAAACTTTGATTACTCTGGTATAAATTTGTGTAAGGGATTTTCTTTTATGAGATGCTATCAAAAAGCGTTGGGTCTTAAAGCCTCATATTAATTTTCACATGTTTCCGGTAAGCGTAATAAATGTATGTAACTTTTTTACCACAGACCTCAGCTCAAGGTTAACTAGACAGTGTGGTAAGATCACTTCAAGTGAGAACTCCTTAAGGGTCACAGCGTCCCAGCCAACCATTAACTCAACTGCTGCGAAAATGGCTGACAATGGCATCTGTTCCAGAAGTGACTTTGCTCATTTTAAGTAGCCAAAAAAAAAAACTTAATGGAACTTTACAATTGTAAATGTAAATTAATTTACTGAGTAACTGTATATTGTTAATATAGCCTACTATTTTATACAATCTATTAAAGGCATAGTTCGCCCAAAAATGAAAATTCTGTCATCATTTACTCACCCTCTAGTTGTTCCAAACCTGTATGAATTTCTTTCCTCTGTTCAACATAAAAGAAGATATTTTGAAGAATATGCAGTTGGTGTCCCCGTTGACTTCAACAGTATGAAAAATGTATTTGTAGTTGTATTGATGACACATCTGTGGTGGAAAACACAAACCACAAGACGTGACAAGCATCAGTGACATATTACATGCTAATGAAAATCATATTTATTTTATTTCAGGGGCCTTCATGATTCCCTTCCTAATCCTGCTGGTTTTTGAGGGAATCCCTCTTCTCCATCTGGAGTTTGCCATCGGTCAGCGGCTAAGGAAAGGAAGCGTTGGGGTGTGGAGAACTATTAACCCCTACATGCTTGGAGTTGGTGAGCTCAATATTAAATATCATATTAAATATAGAATGAAATAAATTGAGTAAAGACTGTCCATGTTGAGTATGTGATCTAAGTAGGTTACTTCCTGTTCTGTTGCAGGTATTGCATCTATGTGTGTGTCCTTTCTGGTCAGTCTGTACTATAACACCATCATAGCCTGGGTCATGTGGTACTTCTTCAACTCCTTCCAGGAGCCTCTGCCTTGGAGCCAGTGTCCCATCAATGCCAACAGGACAGGTACAGTAAATGAGCACCGTGAGGAGGAACTAAATTCTGAATGTGTTTTTAAAAATGCTATCATGGACATGGATTATTGGCAGGACTGGTTTCGGAGTGTGAGAGGAGCTCACCTGTGGACTATTTCTGGTATCGTGAGACTCTGAACACCTCAGTGGCTATAGATGAGACAGGAGGTCTGCAGTGGTGGATGATCCTCTGTCTGATCTCGGCCTGGGGAGTGCTGTACGTCTGTTGCATCCGCGGAATAGAGACGACTGGAAAGGTAGAGCTGCTCTAATAACAGCACTGATGGAAAACAAGAATATTTCAGAATCTGAAGCAGATTTACAATATATTTATGAATGATGTCACATTTATCATGTGCAGTAAAATGAGCAGTGCATGGAACATAGCAAAATAACACGCATCCTCTTACACAAAACTAAAAAATTTAAATTAAAAAAAAAAGTATCTAAAGAGCAAAGTAATGCTTTTGTTATGAATATAAAAACTTAGCCTAATATAACACACCCTTTCATAGTAATTTTTATGTTAAGTTATCATGGCAAATGAGTTATTTATGTACAGGACACCAAAAGGCACCCTACAGTGATATTAATCCATATAATAAATAATTTCATATATTATTGATATATATATATATGATTGCTAATATTTAAGGAAATATATTTTATTTGTGTAAGGGTCAAGTATTATTATTTTTTATTCTACCGGACAATTGTAATTTAAAATGGTAATATATTTATATCTTAATTTTTATAATTAGAGTAAAACAACAACAACAATAATTATAGCCATATATGTACATTTCTATAAATGTACATATAATAATTTCTATAATTTCTATTTAAAAAATTCTATAAATAATTTAAAAATAAAATTCTTAGAAAATAATGTGAATGTGACATTCAATTATTGCAATATTAACTTAAAATCTCAAGGGGTATTTAAAATAAATATGTTACGTCTAAGGAGTTCAACTGGCAAAAATGTTGGGAAGCCGTTTGCTAATCTGTAATCATTAATGCTCAAGTAAGACAGCTTTACCAGTAAAACAGTACTCAATACAGTTGTCAAAGGTTATACCTTTTTATATCATGAGAATGCTATAAATGAATGTTGAAATAAAGAATAAAGATCACAGTGACGTACTGTAAGGACATATGCTTGTAAAAATTTCCAGCACAGAACAGCTTTACAGCTCTTGTGAACAATTAAGCAGACAGTTTTGCTTTAACTGTTGCAATAAAAAGGATTATAATTCCAGAATGTCAAAGTGTTTATCGCTAAATCAAGAGCCACAAAACATAAAGTTTGAACTCACCGTGCCATACCTAAAGTATCTGTCATCAGATATGATATTCACACTCACATTAAGGTTGATTTATATATATATATATATAACAT